TCTATTCTATTCTATTCTATTCTATTCTATTCTATTCTATTCTATTCCATTCCATTCCATTCCATTCCATTCCATTCTACTCTTCATCCAATTTCTATCCTATCCTATCCTATCCTATCCTATCCTATCCTATTCTTCATTCAATATTTATTCTATTCTTATTTTTTTCTATTCTATATGGAGCTGAGTAATATTCCAAGGGAAGAGAAAGAGGAATTAAAAGCCAATTTTCCTGAAGTGGCCCAACACGACTACCCTGGATACTTACGACAGCTGGCGAGGGCACGTGAATACTAGGGACCGAACGTGGCCGCACATGGTTGGCTAAATGGCAAAGCACCACGCCGTCCGTTAAGGCTGCACTGAGATCGTTCGGCAAAGACACCTTTAACCGGGATTCAATGTTCTGGGGAAAAAAAGAGGGCAGAATGATTGCTAGAACGAAAGCAGGTTAAGTACCGATAGTCCCCGACTTACAACTGTTCCTTTGGGGACCCTTCAACGTTACAACGACAACTGAAAAAAGGGACTAAGGACCATTTTTCACACTTAATGAAGTCTGTAGCACCCCCCCACCCGATCATGTCATCGAAATCCAGATGCTTGGCCACTTGGTTCAAACTTATGACAGTTTGCTGCGTCCTAAGCTCATGTAAGTGCCTTTGGCAATCAAAGTCAACCGGGAAGCCAGGTTCACTTTACAACCGGGTTACTAGCTTATCAACTGCAGTGCGTCAACTCATAAAATATTTGGATGGTCTTTTTAGAGTTGCCAACAGACAGGGAGGGGGGACAGAGCAGTGTGGCAGTTTGCAAACCAAAAGTGCATTCCAGAAATGTTTTCAAAGATAGTAACTAGGTGACTGAAGTTTCTGCCAGTGCAAAATTCTAACTGGAGAGCCTGATTGATGACTCTGGGCTATGGATGCATCCCATTGGAGGATATGAATTAGGATACACCCAGGGGGGTGGAGGGAAAACCAGGGTCAAGGGTGACAATGAATTATGTGCCTCAGAGTCGGCTACACCCAGGCAGTGCCGCCATTTTAACTCCCAATAAAACCTTTTGAAGTTTTGGAAGTTTGGCTCGAGACTCATGATTTAATTGGGGGCAATTGCCGGAACCCTGACACAGTGATTCATTTAACAATGGTGGCAAGAAAGGTCATAAAATAAGACAAAATTCACTTAACGAATGTCTCACTTAACAAACAGAAATGTGGGGCTCATACGCTGAGAACCACCTGTACTTTATCTGTAAGTCCTTGACTTACAATAATTCATTTTGCGACTGTTTTCTAAGTTAAAACAGCACTGAAAAAAATGTGATTTATGACAGTTATGTGTGCGAAACGTAGGAAATGTGGCAGGATTTCCGTGGTCATGTGCTCAAAATACAGCAAGCTTGGCCACTGGCTCATTTTTATGACGGTTGCACAGCATCCCAGGGTTCATTTGATCCTCTTTCGCCATGCCGAGACAATGAGGGAAACCAGATTCACTTAAGGACCATGTTATTAACTTATCAACTGCGGTGGTTCACTTAACAACTGTGGCAAGGAAGGTCGTAAAACGGTGACATTTCATTTCATAACAGTAAGAACCATCGATTGAGAAGCGCTGGTTTGGTGTGTGGTTTGGCAAAGACATGCTGGGTCTCACTTCTATGTCCAACTTAGGTTTGGAGTCAGCCCTAAACCAAGCCCACCACATTTTACTGTTCCAACCAAATAACCACCTCTTCCAACTACATACTTTCCGCAGTTGCTCTATCACCAAAACGTCTTCTTCCGGCAAGGTGGAATTATGGTTATCGCTGAGGTCGTCTGTGCAATTAACCGGAGCTGACGAGGAAGCAGGCAGCGACGTGACGGCTGGAAAAGGCAAAATTATCACCGTGAACGGCCAACATTACCATCCTCATAATAGGGCAGATAGATGTTACATTCTAGTATCACGTCCATTGAACGAGCTTCAAAAATCTTCACTATTAAGATATAGCATATTTAATCATACCTATTTTGACAGCGGCGAGAATGATATACGCACAATTTTAGAAGAATGAAATCATACCACCAGAAAGAGAAATCATAAGGAAAACAATGGCTTGGGCAGAATCGGATAGACTAACCTTAGAATTGAAAAACAAGGGGGAAACAGTTTGCTATGAAACGTGGAATAAATTTTATCGGTGGTTACAAAAAAGAAGGGAAGGTCGGAACAAAATTAGCCAGGATGAATAGAACCAAAAAGCAAATACTGTATCAATAATATGAAAGTTAATGGTTTAGCAATATCTTTGTATGTATAGTAAACGTAATGCCAAAACAGCAGCACTGTTGTATATTTACAGTTGTAAACAATAAAATAAATTATACATACATACATACAAATCAGTAGCAAAGATATATCTATATCTATATCTATCTATCTATCTATCTATCTATCTATCTATCTATCTATCTATCTATCTATCTATCTATTTGTTTTCGTAGATTTTCACGGGTACAGGTATGTAGGTCTAGGTGTGTTCGGGTCTTTTCCCGTGTAAGATTAAGAGTATCCTGGC